ACCGGAGGGGGGGGGGGGTTGTTTTACAACGTCGTTGCCAAGCGACGAAAACCCGATTAGGGGGGCAGGGGGGAAGGGGGAAGGAAATCGATTGCGAACCGCACGTTCGAGATCGGAGGGAAAAGGTGTGCTCAAGTGATCCTTGCCCTTTGAGCCTGAGCACCGTTTCTGCTTCTGCTGTTTAGAGTCACTCCCAGAATCTTCACCAAAAGAGAAAACGACGCTAGTTCATGACACGCGCAAGCCCTCGCTCGTCTACCGTGCCAGCCACATGGCATTCAGCAGGTGATAGCTACCGCTGTACAGCAGTACATATGTCTCACGAGTGTGGGAGCAGCTGTAATCACCATCCACTCACCATGCCGTCAATGTTAGGAGGTCCGCTCCCTCGCTTTTCGATGAAGCGTCGGGCCGGCCGAGGACCACGCCAGGGCGTACGGGGGAGAGAAAAGAGGGGCGGGGGGGGGGCACAGCACCGAGGGACACATTTAATCGGCGCAGACGTGCATATGTATACTCGGCATGTTCATAGAGAGGCAGGCTGTGACTGCCGTACAAGTGCGAGCTCTGGGTGATACAACAGAGATGCAGCATTGAGCGGACACCCACACGAGGCCGAGGTCGATCCGCCAGCAAATAACGCCTTCCCAGGTAAGGTGGTACCGGGGAAGAGCGTGTTTTTCTGCACGATAAACAAACCGTTCCGGTCTCTGCTTGGTACCTCCTGACATCCGTACCGGTCCAACGTGCGCGGCCGCCTTCCGTGGTCACAGGCCAACTACCAAAAAAAGGTACATAAAAAAACTGAACAAGACGGAAGGTTTGTACGAATCCGCAGGTATGGATAGTGCGCCATTGGGGCTTGAGAGCTGGAAGGGGTGAATTCAGGGTGCGCGGCCGACATGGTTTCTCTTTTAACGCAGATAAAACCACACGCCGCTTCCGTTCATCACTGTTTTTTGTTCTGTCAAAGGAAAGGAGCAAGTAGACGTGACAACATCTGCCTCGGGATTAGGGTACACCGGGTACAGCAGTAGACCTCAGAGTGCACGATCTCCACCCTGAACACGATGTTACACCGGCGAGGTCATCTGTACACTATCGATGATGGTCATTTCACCTGGTCCGAGCCTCCGTGCCTTCCATAGCTCATTGTCTCCGGTGGTTTGGTGTGGCAGGCTGTCCGTTACGGCAAGGGACCGATGATGGTTGAAGCGTCAAACGTACGACACAGGCGTGGGCTCACGAGACTCACCACAATCAACGTCCGGGGCGGGGAGGGCTGTATTACGGTATGCTTTAATGTACGGGAGACATACCAACGTATGCTACACCTTCTGTGAAATATGCAGTAGGAGTACAGATCCACGCCAAGTTACGACTACCGCGGACTGCTTGCTGTGTGGGGAATTTCCTGCTATCCCCTCCTCTACACGCAACGTGGGGCAAAGACAAGGTCGGCAACTCGTCGAGGGTAAATGGGCGCTGATCACCATGATAGAAGGTTGGGTCTACACCAGGCGGCGGAACCATTTGGCTGGTACATAATGCTATCTACCGTCCGTCAATAGGGACGGCAAGACTTGACCCTCTTCACAGAACCGAGAATAGATTGAAAAGAAGAAACAACATCGCCAAGGGCCGACAGCCGCTACGATCGGCGCAGACCCGGATCCTCAACTGGAGCTACACGTGGTACATGCACAGCAGCGCTTGAAAGGCTGGCTGCATCCGCCCGCCTCAAAAGGTTCACCATGCCCAGTGATGTGCACAGACGGAGGAAGTCCATGGATTGACCGTTCTTGCGGACTGCACGCACCGTAGGCATGGTGGTCAACGTATGCAGAGGATAGACTCAAGTTGCTTGGGACGGCGAGCACGAAAGGAGGCACAGCTAGACTGGTGCTAATGCGCTAACACCCGAGCCCCATAAAACGCAAACAAGTCGGGGAGACTAGAGTATCTGAAGGAGCGCACAAACACACCCCGGCCGCTGCTGGCAGGTTCCCGCGCTGGAGCATACCAGGAGTCCAGATCTTTATCTGATGATCCCCGCTAGTTCATTGCTGCTGGTGAGTGCGTCAAGCGTTCTCCGGTAAGTCGACCGACCTGCCAGCAATACTCCTCTGCTTGATTACGATTCACTCACCGTTTTCAGAAAGCTTGGCAGGTGGTGGCAGTAGGATGCTCGCTGAGAGAAGCAGAGGGCGGGGTCGTTCACAAAAAATACGAGAGGGAACGCCTTCTTCCATTTTTTGTCTTCCCGCTCCCCCCCCCCCTACCCCGCCCATCGCGTATGACATGTTTGTTCTGCGTTGTTTCTCTTGTCCTTCGTCGGACCCACAACACACCTGAGGCAGCAACAATTTCAATATTGATCTCACGTTCACGTCCGCACCATAAGCTTCCTGAAGGGGCGTATGGTCGGGAGATTTTGATGCACGCATCCAACAAGCTGACCATTCGGAAAGCTCCGACGGGCGAGAACTTCACGCCCATGGGTTACCTTACATGTTGGGGATAAAAGGTATGTATGTCGCTCGACGGTGCCCGGGTTGGTAGGCATAGATAACCAGCGTCGGGATAATGCGTCTGGCTTGGAAGTCAGAGAAAGAGGAGACAATGCGAGTGCTTTCGTCCGGCGAGCGACAACGCGGGACGCTGACACGTGCATGCATCGTATTCGTGGGCCTCAACTCATAGCTAGTAGTGCTCCCGTACCGTGCCGCAGACAAGCGCGTGGCCGCCTGGCCGCAGCCGGATGTACCAAACGCACCCGTTAGGAGGAACGAACTTCGACATCAACAAAAGCACACGCCGAGTAAAACGAGAGAAGACCCGAACGCACACTACACACGATAGTATCACTTGTCAACCCTAGTTCAGACAAGTGTGAACATCCAACGTTCACGAGAGACTCCCACAATTGTAGTTAGAAAACTTGGTAAGAAACACACGGCGGTGGGATTACGTTGCAAACGCCAGGTCGACAGAATGCAACTCGTACAACCGAGCTCGCCGCGCGTCGTCTACACACAGCTCGATCCCCCCGACATCTGGAGTATCACAATGACCCCCTGCTTCCCCTTCTTTCCGTGCATCCGCCCGGCCGACATCCTTTCCCCCACCCTCGCCGCCGCTGCTGTGCCCCGTATTTTCCTCCTTCTTGTTGTCGCCGTTCAGGATCTCAAACTCGAACCCTGCTTGGGCAAACGCCCGCTCGACGATGTCGTACGTCACGCCGGCTCTCGGGACGTGGCACAGGAGCATTCGACCGCCCGCCGCCAGCATGTCTCGGACCGTTCCAAGGAACGGTTCTAGGAGGCTGTGCTTGTAGAGCACATCCCCCGCCAGAATGAAATCGAACGACTTCAACGGCGATGGCGATGATGGTAGACTGTCTGGCGGCGGTGGCGGCGGCCCCACGTTTCTATCTTGTCCTCCACAAGATGTGCTAGCGGGATCTTCGTTGAGATGGCCGTTTCCACTACTTGCGATGGGGGAGTGACCATGAGTGCAAACAGCCACGTCGTCTGGCACCGACGTCTTGTCTTGTGCCCCCGCTGCTAAGGATTTGGCGGGCCCGGCTGCTGAAGCTACCCCGTTCTTCCCGCCGCTTCCCGTTCCGATGACCCGCCGGGAATCCCACTCAGAAAAATATTTACAAAATTTTGTAGTCGATTCTTCTTCTCCCCACCTGCCAGCCGAAGAAGACGGTTCGGCGGCGCACAGAAGGGGGATATATGGGCTGGGGGTTGTTGTCGTTGTTGCTGCTTGTCCTGTCGGTTGTCTTCACAATAAAAACATCTCTGAACTCTATCCACCATGATATATCCTTTTGCATAACTTCTGAGATCGAATCCGTGGCCCAAGACTATCCACAGCAAGGCCGAACTAAACAACACAACGATCCAGAGAACGTCCCACCATTCTCAAAAAAAGAGAACAGACCCTAAAAGTCTAGCCTAGAAGAAATAAGACAATGACATACACAAAACAGTAAAACGCGAACAGGAAACGCAAGTTTGCTTCGAGACAAAACGACGCAGCAACGCAAAACACAAGCAGGAAGGACTGAGCGATCTACTCAGGGTCTCGAGGGGAATGCACGCTTACCGAAGGGCCGCGACGAGCGCTTGGTCAAACGGCACGTCGTTGTCTTTGATGTTTTTCTGTGCCATTGCCACGCACCTGTGCCAAGAAACCGGTACAAACAGCAACTGGTGGGTGGTGCCATGTAATGTGAATAGACGCGTGTACGGTGCGGGACTCCAAGCGGTTCCAGAGTGGACAATGTGCGATGAACGGTGGCGTTAGGCATCTGCCAAACCTGAGTGCAGGGTTAAAAAACACCACCTCGAGAATGTTTTTGGCTCCCGTGTCTGTGCTGTCGGATCGGATCAATCTACGTCCCCTTCGCTCAGAGGGGAGTGTTGCTTTAGGGGAACTTGCCACAGGGCCGCTATTGTCCTGCTGTAGCATCGTGCGCCCTCCGTCTGCTGGGAGCGCATCAGACGCGAATCCAGCGCACGGCCATTGCGTCTGCGCTACAACTTAGCCCCCCTCCCCACCGATCTTTTTGACTCTCTCCCTCGCTGCAGATCACTTTCTTTTCGCTCTCGATCCTGTGCCCAGTTTGGTCCCTCTACATACACTCTTGCCCGGACGAGTTATTCTCTGCGGGCCTCAAGTACCTGCCCAGCGATCATTCTCTCCATCTCCCCCTCTCCTCTGTTCTGTGCCCCGTCTTCTCCGACCTAGGATAACATGCAGTGCACACACACACACAACCACTTGGCACACGAAGCTTTTTGCCGGGGGAATTTTGACGACGAAAGAGCCTTAGTACGCCTGAAAGCTTTTCATTCTAACAGGAGTCGGAGGCGGTTTACCTTCGAGCTAGCTCGTTGTCTGTCGATGCGAACTCGCGTGTGTTCAAACGTCATGGGCTACTGATCGACCAACTTCCACCAGGGCCAATCGGTTGGGATCTCTGCGACGATAGTAATAAGGGTACTTCTTTTTGGAGTGACGGAAACGAAGGAAAGGGAAAGGGAAGAAAAAACGACGAAGACGACGATGAAGGAGGAAAACATGGAGGAGTGGAAGAGAGCAAAGGGTTTGAGCCAGATGACCTTTCCAAAAACAAAAAACGTAAGGCTAGGGAAGAACTGCCCAGAGATTCTCGTCAAAATGAGGATCAGAATGATGGTGGCGAAAACAAGGAGGACAATGGTGAAAGTACTACTAAATGAACTCGAGTACAAGATAGTAGCCTTGGTAGACGCGTGTAGTTTTCTTCTGTTGCTGCTGATTCTGTCTTTGATCCGAAGGATAGTTTTTACTAACCCATGCTGCCCCCTCACGGGGTCCCAGTTCATGGCAGGTAGAAGTGTTTTGTGTTTTCAACCGTAGTAAGACTGACGTCTTTTCATTGGTCAGCCGGTCGGCGCGGTCGATGCTAATAAACACACACACACACACACACATACCACTTCCACCACGCACGAGCGTGCGTGGTGGAAGGCAGTAGCAGCAGCAGCAGTAGTAGACTGATGGACTGAAGTGGAATCGCTTTGCACTGGAGCCTCCAGTCGCATCGGCAATGAGCGGTGTCATGAACCAAGATTTGGCACCACCATCACCCGTACCTGGACCTGCACCACGATGCCCAACGGAAGTACGGTATTCATGTCCCCTCTGCATCAGCGAAGGATCAACGAACCTGACGGCGAGGAATCTGGCTACACACCAAAAACGTCAGC